CTAGGTAAAAATTCGGAAGTCGAGAAGTTTCTGTTATTCAAAAACTTGTCAGAAACACTGCATGAAGATTGGGAAACGAAACGCACCAATTAAATCATCAGACCAGCGTCAATAGAATAGCACATCACACCCAATTCAATAAACGCTTCTCAGGCATCCTGTCATTGTATCGGTAACCATTAACATACGCACAGAACACTAGGATGATAAACCTACTACCTCCTTCCAGAGATAAATCTGTCGGACGTAGCCATTAGCAACTGCAGTAAGAAATACCTTCTCAGATTTGTAAACATAAGTGTAGCGAAAGAGAAAGCACTACGGTACACACCAGACTCCATTTGATTCTGTACACTGCATGATTAACCCACACGTTAAGTGCATCGCCGTGCTGGCTCGAAAATGTGACAAACTGTCAGCTATTTTGCAGCGTGTGACAGCTGGTCTAGCGGTCACATCGGAACCAGCTTCATCGGAACTCGATTCCCGTTGCCCAAATATATGTTCAAACGTGGAACAGAATAGCCAAAACCAGTGTATAGTTAACAGCGTAGAACCAGTAATCCCAACCACGAGAACCAGCAGCCAGGGTCTGTCAAACCCGGCAAGCCCGATCTTTCAGAGAGTGGTTTCTCCCGGGAATGTGTCTATCTCACATGACACACTAGTGCATTCTGGTTTACCTAACACTTATCCGTCATCGCTGCAAGTAAACCCATGGAAAGGTTATCGGACAAATTTATGACTACTTCATTGAGTATTCGAGATGGCACGAATAGCATTGTACCTCCAGGTTGTGTGCGCTCTATGCAACAGACCGAAAGCGCTCCGGGGTTTTGGCAAGAAATATATTTAAAATACGGTTGTCAGCAGACACCACAAGAGTCGACGCAAATTCTCGGGAAACATTTGTGTGTGCAGATACGCTTCTGGCATCCGTCGCTCTCAGTTGTTTGTATACAAACGCCCAGAGGTCTTCTCAGTAAATTAGCCGAGTTTTGATCTCGTCAAACCTCAATGTTTTGGGACCTCATGATGGTAACTGAGACGTGACTGAAAGACGTGATTACCGACACCGAGATCGCACTACCTAGTATGTCACACCTGCCCAACGACAGAACCACAAAGAGAGGTGGTATAATGCTTTACCATCGTGTTGACCTTCGCATCGACCGTCTACACGACTCAGGGCTTCAAACCGTGGACGCCTTATAGTGCTGCCTACACCCAAAGCAGAGCGATAAATGCTTAGTGGAAATTACATACCGCCCATCAATGTCCAATTTAATAAGGGACTAGGCCCTCTCTCCCACTCTATAAAGCACCTACTGGAACAATTTTAGAGTCACTTTCTCCTGGTAGGAGACTTGAATCTTCACGGCCTAGAAACCGCGGCCACCCTGGGTGAACGATTCAAGGCGGATCTACAAGAGCCAATCGCTGGTTCTTCGCTGTACAACATTGTCACTTCTCCAACGCGTTTCAGGACTGAAAACAAACCAGCCAACTTGGACATCCTTTTCACCAACGAGGAACAGATGACCGACGTAGTAACGTCGTGCACTCCTTTGAACCGCGGCGATCATGCGGCACTAGTGTTCCAATACTTGTGCTATGCAGTTTATCCTAAAGAAAGTACCGAGCAATATTACGTCATAACAAACTATGAGAACCTGTCTGAACTCATTGGGGCAACAAGCTGGTCTTTCCTCAGCCGAATGGTCCTCTGAAGTGGTCTGCGGGGAATTTGTCAACAGATTCAACAGGCTCGTGGGAAACACATCTGAGACCTAAATCCACTGACCCAAAAAGACGGAATCGTTCCTAAGGAACAGGACTCAGAAATGTAGGGCTTTGAGGGACTTGGCATGACACGTCTACATTGCCACTCCAAGCAAGGATACTTGGGAGGTCTATACAACACAAAGAAATCACTGTGTCAAACTCGTCCGGGAGAATAAAATTAAGAAACCGCAAGACCTTGTGGTCAAATTTTGCTCTAACCCAAAGCTGCCATACAGACTTAAACCAAATTACGCCGCGTTAAGCGCGCAACTCCTGTTCTGCACACAGCATACGTGAAAGCACAAACAACACAAGAGCCGGCCAACGTTCTTGGACAACAGTTTGGCCCTTACCTTCCAAAGTATGCATCCATCCTACGCCATGCCAAACCAGCTCATGCCGACATCAGGCCTTGACCACATATCATTCACAACCGCAGCTGTATTGAAGCGGCTGTTGTCCTTGCGCGAATACAGCTCCCCGCGTGCGGACGGCACTCACGCGAACGCGTTGAAAGTTGTTGCAATGGAATTAGCTGAACCGTTAGCAACACCCTTTCAGTAATACCTTAGCGAGATGCACGTTCCCAACTTGTAGAAGCACGGGAACATCAATCTACAAAAGTGGTAGCCGTGTAGAACCAGCGAATTATCGCCCGACAACACTTCTTCCGGTGATCTCCAAGATCATGGAGTCCATTGTAGATGAGGTGCTCATGCAGTAGCTGGAAAATAACTAATGGAATGATGGTATTATGCAGATTAAAAAGCTAAAGCTTAACAGTCCCCGAAGAATGGTTATGATGAAACTGCCAAATATAAAATATTTGTTAGCACAATTGGGTTAACACCAGTGAATTCACTGAAATGTGCATAACTCACTGAATCCCCGTTCCGGAACAGCAAGAATTTCATCATACTCCATCCGGTACTACTAAGCTGTCGATAGTTCGTGCAAGCTGGACAGAATCTGTGTACGCTGGTGTAGGAGTAGATGGAAACCTACATGGACTTCGCTAAGGTATTCGACCGACTGTACCATCGCATGCTCTGCACAAACTCCAGAATTATGGTATCGGCGATCTCGTTCTGGGATGGATTGGCGACTTTCTCGTTCAACGTAACCTGCATATGGGACTTCGCAACACTCTGTCGGAACCAGTCGAAGTTCATTGAGGTGTAAATCAAGCCTCGATACTCGGGCCAGGCCTGTTCCTGGTTGTCATAAATGATCATGCAACTGTGCTGTCTTCAAACCGTCTGATATTTGCAGACGCTCTAAAGAAATGGCGTGCTATCACCTCAGCGGAGGATCACACAGCCCTACAGGATGACTTGGACACAGCGTATACATGGTCCATCAAGCATATGCTACAGTTAAACGCCACCGAGTGCAAAATCAGGAGCATACGCCATCAGGGTACTCACAATAACTGCAGGCTCTTCATGAGTGCGACCTCGGGGTGCTTGTTCAGTATGACCTTGAGTGTTTGAGGCAGACTGAAAAGGCATAAATAAAAGCAAATCAGCACTTCGGTCTCCTGCGTAGGGTGTTCGAGAAGTTTTACGCCTAAATCTTTCCGAAAATGCTTGACGCGTAAGGAAGACCGCACTCGGAATATGCTATTTAAGCGTGACAAGCCTGGCAGAAGCACCACTTCACCGTACTCGATACTGCATAATGCAGGACGACAAAGAATATCAGACGTTTGTCCCGCCTTCTCTACCCACTGAGGCTGATAACCCACAAAATATGCAGCAAACGTTATCGGCGTCTAATAGGCGATCTCATAATTGTGTGTCAGGTCCTGAGAATCACAAACCATTCTCCTTTGAAACTCAGTCAAAACAAAGCTCTAAGGGGACATCAGTTTAAGCTTGTCACGCAGTACAGCCGATTGGAATGCGGACGAAACTTTTTCTCACTCCAAGTGTCACAGCCTCGGAAAGCCCTCCAGGCATATGTAATTAGTGCCCCCACCTTATCCTATTTCAAAAAATGTCTTGACGATAACCTGACACATGTACACTTCGCGACATGGCCCATGACCAACAGATGCTGTCATTAATGCACAGCCAACAGTGGATGGTACCATAAACTCGCACATGTGTAACTCCAAACCTCTTAGTGAGCCATAAATCTCACACGTTCTCTTACTGACATGGTATTTTAATTTTCGCAAGTTCCACCCTAACCATCGTACGAGATATGTCAAACATTCGTTTTGATACTCCTCATAAACCATTCCTTCATTGCTCTATCAGAGAGGTTTTTGTGACGGTTAGTGTCATAGGATCAATTGAAATGTATGCTTCATTCATTTATTTTAGTTACTTGACCTTAAACAGATGATGATATCCTGAAGGACCAAAATTTCCATTTAGAGTTAAAAGGCAGAAAACTCAAATTGTTAACTTTCCCGTTTGTAGGTGTACGGTGAAATTCTCGGAAAAGACCATCAAAATACCTTCTGGGACTCGAAAGTGTTAAACAAACAATAACACTTCTTGTTTCGGCCAGTGACACATTCTCATCACCAATGGATACCGCGTATAAAGTTCAATGATTGAGAAAATAACTAGTCAAGACCAGAATTGTCAAACGCAACGGAGAAGAGGAAAATGCAACTACTGTTGGAGATAAATAACATCCCAGCAAAAGTACCGTGCCAGGTCCTTAGAAGAAACATGGCAAATATAAAGTTTTTGTTTCTAAACCACTTAAGAAATTCAGCAACACAGGCTACGCCGGTTACTTAGCGGATATCACTGCGGGCTTTATCACGTGCATTAGACAACAAAGCTGCGCAATCCGGATTATTTATCGATGTACGCTCATGAGCGGCGTAGGGAAAATTAGTCTTTTCCAAACTATCTACGCAGGTGAGCTCTCATGCTGTCAGCCAGCTGCTAATTGTGCCACCCATGCGGCAATAAAATCTCGCTGAAATTAACACAGCTACATTCTTGAAAACGTTCTTAACGAAAGAGAAATGAACACGGTGAAGAAATATAAAGTCTGAAGACCGTATAATTTGCATTATGCTTGATGCCACGGGTAACGTGCGATAGCGAAAAAGTTGCGTCATTGAACGAAAACAGCCTATCAAACATTTCGGTCGTCCATAAGCTTTGAAAAATCGAACTTACTTCCTTCACTGGCCACGGCATTGGCACGAGATTTGAATCAGGATTCGAAATGTAATATCAATATTCGAAAATTCAAGTTCACCTTATTTTATTTACATGTTCAATAAGGAGACAGATATAATATGAAGGTTAGGGCATTTAGACCAGAAATGACAAAATAACTATACATAATTTTTGCGCTTTTTCGGCTGTACAGCGAGACTAGAATTTTGGCTGAATTTGTTTACTTTGTTCCCGGTGGACACATCGGGGTTCGGTAAATGCAAATGTTTTATACTGAAACGGTGACGATATCTCATCTGTTTTATGGTGTTGAGGCCTGTGTCTGTTCCGGGAATGAAGTCGATTTCTTGGTAAGAATTTCTTGGACGTATCATTGATTCCGCTAAGGCCGGGTACGTCTGTTGTGCAGTAGCTTCCTGTTCAACTTCATTTTGATACCCTTCCTTCATTCCATGCTGACCTTCCACCATGCATATGTAGTCACCGTTCGACATCGACTTTTCGCGCTCTTCTGCGTCTATTCGAACTTGTGGTGTATCTAAATGTAACAGAGTAGAAAGATGTGGGTTACTGGCTTCAGACAAGTCCACCAAGCTGGGTCTCTGCTCGCGATCACAAGCGTCCACACTAAGTTGGCCGGAAACAGTGACAACTGGAGGCTTGGCAGATGGACAGAGTTCACCATCAGCATTCACTTCATCTTGCAACTTCGTGCTCAGTCTTACTTTGTTTGGAAAAGCTGGCTGCCAATCTACCGACACTCGTTTATTGTCCTTGACTGCATTCTCCGATAGTCGATCCAATTTTGATCTATCCCGGGTAGATAACATTATCCCCTTTCTGATTGGCAACCGCACGTTATGAAGATGGAGCAATCGATTAAACTTTTGGCGCCACCCACGTTGAGCTGCGTGCTCACGCACTGTCCGACGGTTTCTTTGACGAGATGCTCTACCCGGCAGTGGCAGCCCACTTTTCTCCGCAGCGCTTCCAATTCCACTTTTGGTACACGGCTGTCCGGTGGACCCCATATCTTTGCGTAACGTTGCTAGGTATTTGTCTTCCATTAGTTGGTTTTTCATATATTTATAGTAAGTGTTGAAATTGTTTCCGATAATGGGTATGGCCAATCCAGTAACAATGCAACCGCAAATAGCGGTTAGTGACCCCACGAAGTAGCCGGCTCCTCCTTTTGGATGCATGTCACCGTAACCCACGGCAGTCAAAGTGATTATGGACCACCAAAACGATTGGGGAATGTTTGGAAATGTGTCACCCACACGATACTCGGCCATGTACATAAGGGAAGAAAAAAGAAACATTCCATTCATTAGAAGAAACCCCAGAAGTACTAATTCTGGAATGCTCTTTTTCACAGTCAGAATGAGCACCCGAAGAATGCGGGAAATTTTGGAGATTTTAAAAATCCGTAAAATGCGCATCGCTTGTGTCATTGATAGTATGTTCATTAACCAAAGCTGGCCAGACAACTGGTTACGCAACTCGGTGTTGTTTCTTATCCCCAACTTGGGATAATAATAGTTGTAGTGAAACAATGCCATGTACACCCAATAACTACTCAAAATAATAATATCTAACAATGACACTATGGAAGATAAAAATTTTGGTTTGTCTGGCGCAAGTAGTACTTTGAGCATAAATTCCGCGGTGAATAAGCAGTTAAGAGTCATATCCGCTAGAAGTAAGCCCTTAGTGGGCTCAGTAGAGCAGTCTCTTAGCAATTTCGGGTTCATTTCGGATACGGGAACGTCACAAATGTTTGCGAGTGGAGAGGACTCATTCTCGAGTGCTGAATAGTTGGATCCAACCCGTTTTAACTCCAAAATTGTGGGCAGGAGTGAAATATTGTTGGCGTTATTCGACATTTGTAAGTCACCAGGGTGTACTATTTGAGCTGTCGGATATTGCTGCAAAGTAGTTAATGAAGTGGCCAAGTTATTCCTTGTGAACGATGATGAGCGCTGTCCAAATGTGTTGTTTTCTAAAGAAACTGCAGAAGGCATTCGAAATACTTCGTGGGTTGACAGGCAGTAGCACATAACTGATGCAATCATTAGCACGAGGAGGCAAGAGGCCCAAATCTAAAAGTGTAGACAAACAATTCTCATAAACATCCACTTCAAAAGCAGCAATATTTACATCAACAACGACAATAATGGTGGCAAGCTGGGCTATGCTCAGTAGGCTGCATGGACGCTACGCATGATGTTGACGATGTACCAATAACTTTTCAGTAGTTGCCTTGTGGAGTGCACATCCGAAAATGCGAATACTCCACTGTATCTGTCATTGTTCACATGCTCTACGATCCGATACATAAATTATCCCAACCACACAAAAAACTGGTGGCAGCGAGTAAACAAAGGAGGGACACAAAATCGCTTCAGTAGAAGAAAGCGTAACAAAGGTTATACCCAGGTCCTTCCCATTAGGCTGCGCTTTAGCACTGAGAAAGAAGGCTGGGTAGCGCATTAAAAATATGCTTCACCTGTGGCTTTGAAATTCAACACCACCAGCTTCGCAATTGCGCTTAAAACAACTACCGACATTCTGATTGGATTATTCTCCAAATTCCTCCGAGATTTTAGAAGCATGTCGACACTAAGGGTGGTTGGAGCTGGGTTGTTACTAAAGACATAAGGAAATTTATACCTTTAGTTACTCCCACCGGACCCCAAAATATATGCAGAAGGTGAGACTTAACTTACACAGCCTTAACCGGTTTTAGGCAAACGAGTCGGCGGTGGACCTCAGCCAGGACTATATCTAGTGTACCATCGGTAATCTGCTCCAATGTGCCAGAATCGACGCCAATTACCCTAAAAGGAAAGCAATTCTGTAAGAAGAACCAATGGAACTTTATGTATGACATCCTAGGTGTCATAGTGCCGCCAACTTGATACGGGTCAACTGTAACCCAAACTCAAAGCGCGACGTGAACCGAGGCTACTCCGAGTTGTATGGACTTCCGCCGATGAAGTGGAAGCAGTTATGGTATCGACAGTTCTCCTCCGGAAACTGTCATGTTCCATCCGCATCTTCCCGGATATTTTGTGGAGCGCGCGCAAACAGACGAAGCATGACGTTGAAGAATATCGAAGGGAGTCCTTGGCCAGGACCATTTTTGTACACGGTGCTCCCAAGGCTGAAGGACATGATGAGCACGAAGCGACCATCTACTACTAGAATCAGAGGTGCTGCAACCGCGAGACTTGCTCCCTGGAAAAGGCATTGGGGCTATCGATATCGATGCTGCGCAGATTATTAACTCACAAAGGACGTAGCCCGAGGATTGTGAAAGTGCTGCTTCAATCCAGACAAACATCAACAAGGGTGTTGGAGTGCTGGTATGCGGGTCGCAGCAGCCTACCTTCCCAGTTCCGGAGCAAAGCAGCGTCCCCTAAGCAAATAATCAAGAGCAGCAAATTTATCGAACCACTTCCCGACTAGGGTTTGGATAACACCAATCAGATAGCTGTCAAGACTGGTGAACACACCCATAGAATACATACAAAGAGAGGATCAAGGAGGTGCTGGAGGGATCTCTGGATCTGGCACAAATGAGTTCCTTACCACCCCTGCCAAAAACGATCTTTGGTCAACGTTTCACCGGTTGGCACAAGAGTGCACCTGAAACGCACGTTCCCAGACTCAATAATAAGATCGGAGAAACTTTCCTACATGTACACTAGCGTTCAAGGTCTCCTGAATCACCTTGCTGAACTGCCGCTACCACCATTGTTACACGCCCAGGACCTAAGCTACTCTATGAAACTTAGTTGCACCCAGAGGTTACCGACACCGAAGTCACGACCCATAGTATGTTTGCACGAAACGAACACCGAAGCAAGGACAGTGGGGTACGATTTTATTAGCATAGTAACCCGCAGTGGGAACCAGTGGATGATCTGGAAACGCTGTTCATTGACTCACTCTGGTGCAGTCTGTGTTTGAGACTCAACGACACTTCTCTTTCTGTAATTGTTTATTGTTCCCCATTGTCAACCCCAGAGATGGTCTCCCGCCAGACATCAGCTTTGGGGTGGGTCCTTCGAGGACGATACAGCCATGTTCACATCTCACGCTACTTCAGTGTTCACGAGGTGAAGTTCCAGCCTCCCCCAACGAGCAATTCAAAGCCGACCTGCAAGAGCTTATTGCAAATATTTTGCTCTTCAACCATGTCAGTTCACCCATCAGGTTCAGAAAGGAAAATAAGCTTTCCTTGCTCGATTTATTGCTCATGAACGAAGAGCTCATGAGCGAAATGCCAAAGGTGGAGATCACTCTGGGAAACAGTGATCACGTTAGCATACTTTACAACTATGTATGTTATACAGAATATCCACACGAACAAATCAATTTGTTTCGGAAAATAACACTACGATTTGCTAACAGAACTCTTTGGATAAGTGTGTTGGGAGTTTTCGAATGACTGTTCCATTGATAATGCGTGGATGGAGCTTGCTAAAATGTTCAGGGATCTGAGTGAATCCATACCAGAAGACAGGCTCATTCCTTCTGTAGGAGCACCAACATTCAGTCGGATCAGAACCCGAAAACATAGGGCGGTAAACGATTTGGCATGACGTTTGTACAGGGCGAACCATGGCCCTGAAAACTAGAACAACTGTGTTGTGTAGCATAATCACTGCACAAAGTTTCATCGTGAGAGCAAAGTAATACACCAACAGAGCCTATCGGAAAGGATTTGCGCTAACAACTAGCTTCTGTACAAACATGTGAACAGCCTCCTGAATGTGAGGCGTGGTGCTCCCCCCCCTACTCGTCTTAGCAAATGGATGTGCTCAACTGCTGCTGATGCAGCCAAGGCTCTATGTCTCCAACATGCTCCAACACTACAACGCGCCACCAGCATGCGTGCCATTTCTGTCCCCTGCCCTCAGACGCCAGTGTTTACACCCGTCACTTTTAGTTTAGCGACCGTTTTGTGGAAGCGGCGCTCGTTGCACACCCATAGTTCTCCAGGTGCTGATAACATTCACACAAAAGCCTTGCAGCTAGCAGCTACGAGGATACCTAAACTATTAACCCAATTTTTCCAAAGATACTTGGATGAACAGCAAGTACCTACCATGGGGAAGCAGGGTATCATGACCCTGATTTGCAAGGGTGGTAGCCGTTCGGAGCCCGTCAAATATCGCCCAGTTATTCTCGTCCCGGTGTTCTCAAGGGTGATGGAGTCGATCATAGCTGAGGCGCTAATGGGCTATTTTGAATTATCTAATATCATAACACAGCAGCAACATGTATTTCGTTAGCATCGGTCATCTGGTATCTACCTACTGATTACCCGCGGCAGTTGGACCGAAACAGCCGAGGTTGGGAACTGAAGTAATATCCTCTACCACGACTTGGCTAATGTCCACCGTCCATGCGATCACTACATCCTTCCCCAAATGCTGCAGACATACGGTATCAGGAACTCTGTCCTTGGGTGGGTCGGAAATTTTCTCCTTCAGTGAAGGTTACAAGTTCGGGTTCGTAACGCAATTTCCCATTCAACATTGACGGACTGCGGTATTCACAATGGTCAGAGTTGAAGTTTTGCCTATTCTTGGTCTTCAGCAACAACCTTGCGAGTGTCATCGAATCGAATTTCCTGTTTTTTCCGATGACAGCAATATATATCGGACAATCGGTAGTCAGGATAACCACGATCTGCTGCAATGAGACTTGGACCGTGCTATTGAAGGGCGAAACCCAAATATACCTCCGTTCAACGCGGGCAAGTGCAAAACTGTTCGTGCGCACCACAAGCCCACTGGCGTACATAAGATTTGAGACCACATCCTGAAGATCGCCGCACAGGAGCGTGACTTTGGGATGGTGATGCAGAAGGATCTGGGCTGTTCCGCGCACTCTTTGAAGAAGTCCAAAAGCGCGAACCAACATGTTGATGTCTTACCGAGGGCGTTCGGGCTGTTCGATCCCGCTATCTCTCAAATGCTCAACGCATATTTGATGCCGCATTTAGTCTACGCGATTAGAGTACGCGGAACATTAACTAAAATGCGATCAGGTCGTACTGGCGACCCCACAGCGAAAGATAACCAAAAATATGAAGGGATCGTTCCATCAGCCATACCATCTGCGAAGTCTACAGCTGAAGTTATCGCCGTACACTGGATGACCACCTTCTGGTGTATCATATGATGAAGAATTCCCGTCACGCTGGCCGTCAACACCTGAAATTTAACAGCAACACAAAATTTGGGGGGTTAACAACCGAAACTGGCTACCCAATGCAGTCGACTGGAATGCCGCCGGAATTAATTTTCGTTTTGTATTTGTCGGCCTTGGAAACCTCGTTCGCATTTTGTCTTCTCTGCGCCCACAGTAGCCATGTTAAAAAATAAGTTGATAGTACACAATTTGTATTACTTGATTTGAATTCTCTTCATCGAGGAATAACAAGACACAGACAAACACTGTGCCAAGCAATCCCGACGAAATCGAAGAAAACGGAGTTACCTATGTGTTAATGGGGACATTATGGTGAGTCCACATATATGCGTTACACTTTTTTGTCATCATAATTTAAACTTATGCAATTCACACAAACCATCCTACGGGATCTGTCAAGCCTTTGTATTTTTATCCAAATTATTCCATTGTTCCATATTTTTCATTGTTTGCGATTCCCAAAATAGGCATCCGTCAGCAGGGATGGACGACGTCCATCAAAAACGAAACTAAAATCGGCGTTTATACCAATGCAGATGATGGATAGATGAGATATCTACTGGCACCGAACAGCTGACGGATATTGCAGTATCAAAGGAAACGTGAGAGGTCATGCGACAACCGACCGTATTCCTGAGCTGCCCTTTGGCGCAACTAGAATGTATTTCCGTGGCGTGCTATTTGCATGAACATGTCTACTTATTCCATCTGAAGAAATTGGACTAGAATAGATTGCACATTCTAGAACAAATTTGGTGCGTGCTTAAATGCGTCTTCTTAGTTGTACATTGTTTTCGCTTACAGTGATAATCGTCATGGTTACGGTGATAGCACGCAACTGCAAAAACTGAGAACCTTACAAGTGTATCGGGTTGTCTATTCATTTGACAGCAACTGATGGGCGAGGAGCACCTACAACTCACCTGGTCGCAATGGTGAGGCAACACGAACAGTCCACGTGACAACGTGGAGAAAATTGGAATAAAAATGTGATCACCTGCCACTGTTCCAATGATATCGCTGGAGGTTGCATCACTGCGCTCGGAATTTTAATTTACGTTGTCACACCCTCTTTCAGCGTCTCTCATCCAGTCCCTACCCTTGTCATTAAGATGGTGTAGCTCTAGCTCTTTCATAAAACATACCGGATATCAGGGTAATCTTTTTATTCACTGCTAGCAATGCTTATCCTTTACTATCCGGAATACCAAGAACAAAATTTACTTCCTTCAGCTCGTTTGCGCAAATGTATCAGATCCGGTATGCTACTTCCTTGAATCATACATGGCGAGTGTCAGGTTAGAGAAACAGGTAAATCTCAGTAGTGGTCTAAAACTATTTTGTCATTATCAAAATTTTATGCATAAAGCTGTTAGTTAAATATAGCTGCTTGGTGTTCCTTGTTATGTATCTGAGTGAAATTGGTGTGTTCACGGCCAAATGGTGCGCGTTCAGTTAGAACGAGGTCCGATTTGTCTATTTGCTTTATATGATATATACGTCACAGCAAACACGTTCAAGCCGTATTCGTACGATTAGTTCCAAATTGGCCACTAGGACATTCTACAGGCTAATAGGCCACAAAATATTGCATATATTGAATACTTCAAAACGTAGTGTCTTACAAACGTGACAACATGTAATATTATTTGAAGATTTGAATTCAAATTCATTATGTAATAGAAAGAGTATTCCTAACAAGTGCAGTTCGTTAACATTCCTAGCAGTGTAAACTTCGCAACGTACGGGACAATGCAGATGCACACGGGAAGTCAGGTGCTCTTAAATGCCAGTCATAACCAGTCCAGCTGAAGTTGCGCCCTTGGGAAGCAATACTTGAAAAGCGCAGGTTTTACGTTCTGTCTGTGCGAGACCGTGGGTTTTGTCATTGTAGGAAAGACGAAGTTAGTTTGCTATTTTCTACTATATGTCTAGTGCCCGAAAAACCGACTACCTTTCCTACAAATCAAATGAAATTGATGGTCGTTTTCGCATGATCCGACTTCGTCAGTACTTCTACGGTGCCACGTGGTCACTGGGAAAGTTGTCCAGTCGTATAATCTAAGGTACCTGCTACAGTGGCAAAAAAACGCGGCACATTTCCACAACTCGTGCTAGAACAACGTGACACCAGCTTCAATCATTCTTGGCAGGCTTGGCTTGGCTAATCGACGATCATCCGCTCATAAATGGATCAGGTGGTATGTAGACAGTCTTTGTAGAATGAAGAGAAACCAGAGGGGTAATATTTGCTTACTTATCTTTAGATGGCAGTTTTACATGTGCTTTTCTGCATTTCAGTGAAAGGTGTAATGAACTGTATCCGTTTCATTTCCCGGTGACCCCGATTGCGGTGTGATAGCACATCCGTATTTAATCTCCATAACTAGGCTTAGAAAATGTAAGTTTAGTAAGTTAAATCACTCAGAAAATCGGTTCCTTTAATATGGTAGGTTTTTCGTGGTGTGTGCTTATGCGGTGTCTTTTTGTAAATCAGTTTAATCGTTAGCACGGCACTCTCTGGCCGTAACTAAGGTCGGATGTAAGCAGCTTGCAGAAAGAGTTCAAGTAAGCGAGGAGAAGTTAATTGTCCTTAGGTATGTCTATTGTACTGTGGTAGTCTTGAATCGATGTTTATAGTAAAATGGTTATTGCACCGTTTCAACATTAATCCTGTTTACACTATCACAACTCGTTTCCCCATGTAACAAAACTGGAGACAAGCATATTCTCCCAACATGACAATCTCTTTTCGGCATCCCCGCTGAATTATGCAATCCATTAAGTTAGGCTACGGTTTCAACCACACACCAGAAAACATTCGGCGGTATTCCGCAGGATTATTCATCGAACGATCTACGGCTATGAACTATAAAGACTGCTGTCGCCGGTTTCAATTAGACCCTCTGTGATTGCGCCGACTGAGAAACAATCCGGTTTTTTTCACATTATACACTGCCCAGTATACGCTACTGGAATAGCCCCATCTTACAAAATTGCTCTACCTGTCACACAATAAATAAAAGTTTAACACTAACCACACAAAATGGAAAACTATAAACCCATTCCATATTTTTCTGCAATGTATGCTCATTTGTGGAACAAGTTGCCATTGCAAGCACAGGCAAATCATAGCTTAAGCAAATTTAAAACGATATTGAGCGCTTCTCTCATTATGCCTAATGTAATTCAATCATTCGGTTTTCAAGCACCCACAGTTGTGTTAGTTGCATCCGGGCCAAACAACATCTGACGAACGATGCAGGTTTACCCCATCTTATCTTATCTTAGCACACTATATGTTCTACTCGGAAGCGCTAAGCTTGAAACTTCACCTGCAAGTGAAGAAAATATAATTTACTGTGCATCTTCTGTTTATGACATATTCCGTACTCATTTGATATTCTGCCCGTCCATAATAAACTGACACTTCACAATTACAATTGCGTTCTGTGAGGCTAATCGAACCAAATCACGATAGCTTCTCCTTGCATTATAATTGTTATTTTATCTACTCGGTGAAGTCAAGCTAACAACTTCACCTGCAGCCGTAGGCTAGAAGGGATGGTAAAACCCTATACATCTTACCTTTTACACAGTCTAAAACACATGGAGCATTGTCAAACACACATTAGTGTTACGGTTAAATCATGCACGAAGTGCAACGAGCCACAACACTGGGAGTTCTAACCGTTCTTCGTTTCAGTAACTGGGTTCCTGAGGTAACTTATCCCAAATAGAGAAATCCAGGCAGTTTAGCTTGTGAAGCCCTACTAAAGTAATGGTTCTAGGAAATAGAGAAACTCCAGATTATCGGAAGCCTTGCAGTGGCTCACTTGTCAATAGCCGACTTATGCCTAGTTCTTCTCGGTCTTAACACTATAATGCATGGTCAGTCTCGCCCTTTGCTTTAACACTTAAAGTATAGGTTCCCCAACTATTGTCAGAATCAGTATTCTCATGGCTACCGAACAGTCAATTGTATTAGTAAGTCACCTACTAGCGATCAAGGGATCCTAACAAATGTTACAACTTCATCCTATGTACAAAAATCTCCCTTTCTGGTCGCGCTGAGACACACAGTAGAAAGTGATACTGTCACTTGTTAGAATCAGAGTTTGACTGTTTCTCTTTCTGGGATACATAAAAAATTTGGAAATTCAACTCTATCTTTTTTATCTACTGCACCCCATAAAACGGTTTGTCTTCGCACGCTGACATTGCAGGTAACAAAAGTCTGGCGTATGTTTAAAATAGTGGTAATTTTCTTGCGAAGCAAACTTATCCGTATGATGTAATTCGTTCTGTCTTGCACGACAGTTCGCTGTGCGTTGTGAGGGTTAACTTGCTACGGAAAGCATTCCAAAAAGTTGGTATATCAAGTTTCATCCCACGGTTGTCCTGAAGTCGTTCGCTAGACTTCACATCGACACCCTTGGGAACCTACGGCAAAAACGGAACCAACTTCAGCGTTTTGTAAAGCAGAACGTCAGAGGTAACATTTGACTAATTGCGATCACTGTGTTTAGTATTCTGGCGTTTAGGGAATCAGGTAAGTTTAACTTTTATTGCTCTATTGAAGCTTTGTGCTACTTGTTTAAACACGTAGATGCCTTGTGTTGGAGTATCAACCAAGAGTTCGCGAACGGTCAAAATGCAGTTCACATTTGTTAAAACATAGTTGTGTGTGACCGGAGTTTGTCAAACTAATGGTCTGTGTGACGTGAAGCAGGTAATAAAAATTTTTCTCGTAGTCTTGAGCCATCGGATTAATGGGTCTAGCAAGCTTACATTTGGAAAACGGTCCTTACTCGGGATATTTGCATTTGGCTAATCCGGCCATACCTGGGGGTGTAGTTCTAGGTATGCTTTTACTATCGTTAGTACTAGGGAAGGACAAATTTCGACAGAATACGCAACATATCCAAGATGAGTACAGTAACTCAATGCGTATCATGTAAACTAATACATCAGCTGAATAAACTCTCCCCAACTCCTTGACTAAAAAACATCTTGAGGTATACCCCTATTCTTCAGACCAGTTTGAATTTTATTGATTGCATGCTGTTCACTGGTAATTTTGTAATGGGGAGCCTACAATTTGGACCTAAACCGGATATGCAATAATTTTATCAGTAAAAGCTTACCTTCGCAGGAAGTGAGGAACTCGGATGATCCATAAACAGCCACATCTGGTAACGCCACTTTTTCCACCCCCTTGAGTACTTGACCAAATTTTGCATCGAGTCAATATCCTCAAAGCAGTCCCGGAAGAGAGTGTTTTTTGTCCGTTTTTCCTCATCATAGCGCATGTAAGCTGGCATGCAGCACGGTCCTATAAGCGATTCATCGATTCCCCAGAAAATGAGTTCCTTCCGCACAAATGGGCCACAAATGCTTGATGGTAGGTGAAGTTCTCCGGTTCTATAATAATCCAGAACGAATCTAAATATCTCCGGATCTCTGTCGTAAAAATACACTATCGGAGGAACAGGCGGAGCATAGTTTGCAATTGTTGCCGTGGAACCTAGCAATTGAGGAGTACCAGGTGTAGACAAAGTTGTTGAGCAATTGCAATCCTTCCCCGAAGGACTTGGAGGTTGTAGAGAAAGTCCAGGGACAACAGAGGCACGATTTCGACAAAGGGTGGAGGCCGATTTCAGGTTCATATTTCCCGCGAGCATTACGGAAATATTTTCAGGCAGTAGTGTTGCCCCTCCAACCACTGCCCGTTCAGTAGAGTACGTATTCTGAAACGGGTTTGGGGATGGCGAGCAGGATTTGGCGTAACTGCTGAAAGAGCCGTAGTTAGTCGGTGATGGGCAGCTGGATCCTTGTGTGGCAATCAAGTACAATCGACTGTCCGGAAGTCGATAAAGAGTTGCTCGACGAGTCACGAACAAGCGTCCTCCAACGCAGAGACAAATGACATCAGCCGGTTTTCCGGCGCTTTGCGGTGGGCTGAGCATTTCAACAGATTATCATGGCAGGCACGCAGACAGATATTCAAACAGAAGTTTCTCCCAGGTTGACAAGATTATGTCTAAGGACAAAACGAAAGTATTCATTGTATGAGGGACACCTCCGGGACTAATTCAACACGCTGATTTGGTGACAGGTTTTGGTATTTTTATCCTTAGTGTACGGACGAATTTTTGGGTTGACATGTTTAGTGTAACGCGACATAAACCGCCAAAGCGTGATGGTTTTCATAGCCATTGATCGCTTGTCTGTTGATGGCAACCAGCCTGTTAATATAGTAGGCCGGTGTGTGCCACAAGCCTGATTACTTTCTATGGGCAGGATTTAGGTCAGGACGACACCGGCACCAATGAAATTAGCAGAAAAACTTCGCTGATGCAAAGATGATAGCATTTTTATCTTTGTCTAACATCACTGTTCGCCCACCCCTCAGATTTGCCTCTTAAGTATATGTGAATTGATGCTTTTTTAGAAGATTTATTCACCTGTCCGATTGACAATCCTCACTAAGCTTGTAGGCTTGATAATGAGTCGTTGCCTATCGTTCTTAAAAATAGCAATACTTGGAAATATTCAAACGTTTCAGGCTCCTAGGTGAAACACTTGTACACATTTAATTCGTTTCCAGCCTTTTCACAGCTCCCGTTCCCTCGTCCCATAAATAGCGCAAAGTTTCTGATAATCGATAACATACAATGAGAAAAGCCGAGCGTAAAATTTTCGCTCATATCTTATACAGGGCAAAAATGAATTTCTATTCATTTAGTCATCATATTTATTCCCGGCATGAATATGGAACAAATGTGTTGTACTTGAATGCAAAAGCTAGCGAAGGTCTGTGCGTCATGGTGAGAAAATTAACTCGTTCGTTTTGCTTCGTCAGTTCGCCATTTCAAACTTTGATCACATTGTTTCGTGAAAGGTTCGTCACAGTTAAACTCAGCCGTAAAGCCACCACACATCCAGGAAAGCGCTAGACGACCATTTCATCGTACTGGGACTCGTCGGCAGGGCGCGAACAATCAGTAGTAGCCTTAGCAGCTTTCCTGCTGCTTCCATTGGTGGTGGCTTACCAAGAAACTCGTGGCTCTGGGGGCCAACCATGTACTCTGCAGGTTCATAACATGCGTGACAGTAGAGGATGAACAGCGTTATATCGCAGTTAGATATCAGTCATAGTGGTCCGATGTCGTCCCCCATGGCTCAGTGGCATAAATTGCTGTCTCACAAGTGGAAGATCGTGGGTTCGAATCCGATAGGATTCGGCGGATGCGGACTACTGACGAGTGCCAATAGGACACAACGGCCTTCTAGCGCTTTTCTGAATGTGTGGTGATTGTCTGCCTGAGCCTAACTGAGACGAATCTTTCACAAAATAGCCAATAAATCCCCCAACGACTTTGGTCACGTTCTTTACGACGAAAGTAATGTAAACCTTGGATTATTGGACCAGGAGCGTCTACATTTGTGACCTTAGCGGTGATTGGTGGGAAGTTTATAAGCCCCAATATCTGGAAGCAATCGGTGACAGCCCCAATGATCATATTGGCAGGGGCTGACTTCAAAGCCAATCAAGGCTAGCATTGAGATTTTCAGTCGCAATCCAAGACAGACAGCGGGTGCTCTAAAACCAGAAAACCAACTTCTAACCGCTGTGTCAATCACTGCCTGCAGAGCTTATTGACCTAGTGATCATGATGACAGGCGCCAAGCACTAGGCACCAAGTACCACTCCTAGCTCGGGTATCTGTATCTGATGAATGTAAACCAAGACGAAACCACTGACCGTGGAGTGCAGGGATGGGTGAGAACCACACCGAAACCCTCCACTTGGTGACGGCCCCAGGGATCGTGTTGACAGACGCTTACATCAATGTCAAGCAAGACTACAGCTGGGATTGCATGTCGCAATCCAAGACACACAGCGGGTACTCCAAACTCCGAAAATCAGCCAAAATTTGGTGTTGAACCGCTAACACCACAGCTCATTTAGTTGTTTCAAAAGACCAAAGCAGCCAAAACTCTTAGATGTACCCGGCAAATTTCAGCTTCTGTGCAAGCATAATTGAAAAACTTGATTAAAGTAGAACATAAAATAAAAAGGAAGCTGTCAACCGATTATTACAAGCATTTGAGAAGTCCCTGTCCAAATACTTCTGGATATCATGAATAGTTGAACACTTGAGAAAGTGGGTGGTGAAGGAGACACCAGGATTCTATCAGTAAACTCAGGATACTTATAAAGGGAAATTCCGAATTGTTTGACGGCAGGCTACTACTACATGCGAACATTTATAAAAGACGCCTAGTAGTTACACAAATTTTAAGCTGCATCTGGATGAAAATCATTGCTTGATTGAGGTCCTTTCGCGCAAACTGAATCTTGACTTTTTGGACTGGTTTTGTTTAATGATTATGAACTTCCGGAGAAATTCTTCCGTGTATTGTATAGTGGAATAAAACCTTTTGTCTACGACGTGATTTTATTTGATCAGTTTCCAGTAAGTCCTACAATAAATACCTCAGCTGATCATCCACAAAACTTCCTAAATTGAATAAACACCTGATAGACATTTACTAGAGTTAAAATAGTTAGTTTTAGAAAATATGAATTGACGCAGCAGAAAGACCCGTCCGAATAAGTTAAACACAATCTGGATTGATGGTAGCGAGAAAGGGAAGTTCTAGCTCTGGGGCCAACACTGTCCTCCGCATCATCAACAAAACATGCACAACAGCGGAGGGTAAGCTGCAGACCATAGTAAGCCATGATGACCACTGCCCAATAACTCATCGACGAGTCGTAAAATAAAAGCCGTGGGCTTGAATTCGGAGCGAATCGGTGGATGGGCATTGTTAAATTGTCCCAATAGAATTAACCGGTCGTCAAACCGGTAGATAATTGTTGGTTGCTTGGTTAGTTCCACCTTTGACCAGTCTCCTGAAAAGTTATGTCACTTTCTACAGAAATATGGTCAGTATCAAGTATGTGTGCTGCTAAGAGTTCTACGTCCCCAAATGATGAAAGTGATCATCTAAAAGCTTTTCTTTTCCTGTCAACTCTTTGTTAAAAGTGCATACAATAAAGCTGGTTAATGCAAATGTTGATTTTAGACTTTCAAAAATGCTGCAGAAAATTGTACCAGTAACTACGGCCCCTCGTGTAGACCAGCTATCTAAAATCAATTGATAATCGCGCTCTTTTTGATGCAGAATCCAGAACAAGCTGCTTGAGAGGCGTTGGTGTGCTTTGGTCGCCCAGGTGTCAGGCCGTCCAGTTTCTCTGAACCCCAGGATTTAGAGCAAATTAGAAGGTGAAATGTAGGAAACTGGTCCCAAATACTGCATCGAGCAGTAGTCATTGAAAACAGCAAATTGCAAGGTAGGAGGCGAGTAATTATTATATAAAATGGTGAAGACAAGTACTACTATCTTTGTTCCGAACTATTTTAGTAACTAAACGCTCCCGTGCAGTTCCTTTTGGTGACATGCGTTGTGCAGTTAGAGTAAAGGCACCGGTGAGCAAAGGTGCTAAACATAACAAATATGAAGGAGCCTGGTGGATCTGGAGAAGCTCAGTTGCAAAGGTAAATCTCATTGGTTACCTTCAAGCAAGTGCGGCAAAATTTTCCTCCCTCATATGACAGTCGACAGTGAGAACCTGTCTATATGGGTATTCAGGAGAACGGTTTTGCCCCCTACTAACTTTCCACTGTCTATGCGTTTTCTTGATTCATGTCTCAGACTCAAACAGAGTAGTCTTCTTCCACCACACTGAGGATGTGGACAGAATTAGTGATTCGCAAACACGTACATTTAATATACCTTTATGCTGGCTGGCTTGCTACATACAAATAGTAGTAAAGTAAAGCGAACAACCAACTTCTACGAAAGTAAAAACTAGAATTCCGATAAATGTACTAGGGAGAGTCATTCGATGCATCTCCTGGTAGTTTGAGTTAGGAAGAGTTGTTTATTAAATCAGCCCATTCGTTGGCTGTTGCAAAAATGACCTAGACAAACGCCTTGCATTTCACTTTTTCTTCGCTTAATGCTTAGCTTCCCGTTAACACTTGAACTATCGGCATCTGGACACTTAGTAACAACTGTCGTCTTCGATAACGATGCATTGTTTAAATTCTGATGAATGCATCCAGCATAAGATTTGCGGCTAGTGGATGTAGCTACGTCAACCAAACTGACTGTTACTCTTTTAATGAACAAGCAACCGCAAAATACCTTACCTCCAGCACACTTCTCGATATTTTGAGTTCGTCGCAACCGGCCACCAATACAGATACTAGATTTTTGCCGGTTTCATTCAGCTATGTGTAAACAACTTCGCAGTTATTTTGATCGTACATAGTAATTATGCTGCAAAGTAAGATGTGCCTTGTTTCAAATCCATAGTGCTCATTGTACTGTTGTCCATCGTTTAATATTTCTCTTAACCTCATCGAAATTCCCACGAAAATTTAGTTCTTTTGGCCATTACGCCATGGTTCTCAGGTTCAAACAAATAGTTCACTAATTCCGTAGAGCATGATAGAATAAAAAGCAATAGCTTTACGAGACTCACAGGATGGCAAATGCAAAAGAAAATCAAAATGTCCCTGTGTGGAACGTGAAATATCAGTAGTAGATACATATGGCACATGCAGCGTTATGCATCGTTCAATAGTTGGAGAGAAGTTTAACAGTTTTTCGAATGTCGCGATACTTTTTGCTTTCATCTCATGTACTGGCAGTGTATTTCAGTATGAACAGACTTCAAGAGAATATAAAGACCTTTTATAATCCAAATGGGGGTGTGGTTAATAGTTGCATGTCTTTGCCTCGACATTGTGGGAGTTTAGGCTCAGCGGTAATTTACTTGGATGCTCGTTATCTGTTAGTACCCGGTAAACGAGAATGAGATATCTGTGAAGCTGTCGGTATTCTGAGAAAAACACCGATTAAACAGAGGCGTATTTCGCAATTTAAACCGGATAGTTCAAGTGTTGCTTTGGGGGCTCTTCTGGTCCAAGCGACGAATGTCTCGTTTTAACGACTGACGCCAGA